CTTTTAACGTTAAAAATGACTAAATTGCGTTACATAAATGTTTCTTGGGTAGCTTATTGAAAATGGAGAGAAAAACTATTTATAAATTTAATACGGGTAATGATCTACCGAAAGAAGGTAATTTTGTTGCCTTGTGTGCCATAGCCATATTTGCACAATTTTATTTTGCATAATCAAAACTATTTTATTCATTTCAAAATCCAAATATTATTGTTTCACCACACAACACGATAATGCCTTACAATTACACTGCATTGAATCAATGCAGTTCCGGGCTGGAATTCTAAGTCATTCCACCGAAATCGTTCGGAACTATTTTTTTTCGTATGTAAGACTATATTGGAGTGAAAGAGAGAGATTCCACAATTTTTCACCGTTCCATCGGAATTATTCCGATAATTCAAGGAAGAGTGAAATGTGTGAGAAATAATGATGGAACGCTGAAAAATAGTGGAATCTCTCTCTTTCACTCCAATATGGTCTTAGGTACGAAAAAAATAATTCCGAACGAACTTGGTGGAATGACTTAGAATTCCAGCCCCGAATTCTTCAATCAAACCAATGAAAAATACTTATTTGCGCCGTATTTATGCGCCAAATAAAATTGAAAACGCAAAAATCAAACATGGCTTCTCAAGCTGAAAAATGCATCATTAACAGAATAATCAAAAAAATATAACAAAGAACCAATATGCGAAAGAATGCATGTAAAACACGTTGCACGTTACATGAACTCGTTATTATTGTTACGTTTGACAAATCAAGTACATTGCATGGAAATCATTTCATCATGAATCAAAATACGTTGCAAAGTTTGCTTTCGTCAAAACATTTTGTGGAATTTGAGAAAACTGTATGTGTTCGTTGCCAAAATATACAAAAACATACAATTCTGTTACACCCTGTATATAAACCCAAATATCGCTCTTGCGATATTAACAGAATTAGATTCGCATTCGTTCATGTTTCCTTCTAATTTCAACTATGGAGAAAGCTTGCAAACCATTTTTACATCAACAGTATTCGTTAGACTGTCCCAAAAACGGCTCATATGAAAATGGGCCAAAAACCTTCGAAATATTCATCAATATTTGCGATAAATCCATAGAAATATTTATGAAATATGTTCGAAATATTTACAAAATGGCCAAAAATCGCCAAAATATTTACGAAAAAAATGTCAATAAGAAAAAATGGAAAATAAAAACAATCCAAAAATTTTGTTTTTTTGAAAAATAATTGAAAATTTTCACAAAAAAAATAGCGAAATTCTCAAAATATTCAAGAAAAACTCTAAAAATCTTAAAATATTTCAAAATAAATATAATATTTATTCATAACAAAATCGTCTAAAATATTTAAATAAATATTTTTGTTAGCCTTAGTTATAAGTAAGCTCCCGCAATGCAATTATTTGAACACCTTGCTCTGAATTCATCTGTTTGCGTTAAAAAAATTGTGATTTTGATAGTGCGACAGCATATCAAACTCAATGTCTATATGGTCGCAATCGGTTGGACCATTGTTTTGACTGTTGGGTCGATAGATTGGTTTACCGTAAGTGCCGTAGCTGAGTTTTGAGGTGTGCAAGTCTAGATTTAATGCATTTTTATACCATTAATTAAGCCGTTTTTATAAAAAAAATTGCGCCATACAGTCATCTGCATGATATTCACTTTAAAACATGTTTGTAATGGACCAAATGAGGGCCTGAGAGTGAATATGACAACAAAAGGTTGAGCGTAAAAGTGACCCAACTCGATACAAAACAGCGTGACGGTAGCATGTGTTTTGTATGGAGTTAGGTCACTTTTACGCTCAACTTTTTGTTGGTCTCTTTCACTCTCAGGCCCTCAAATTACAACATCCAATAAGGTTTGACCAATTCCAAGCGTATTTGTGTGTTTTATTTAAAAATAGAGCGCAGCTCTGTGCATCACGCTGCATGTTTAGTTTTCATATTGCAAAAAAGTTCGTTTTTCATTCATACGAATGAATAACGAACTGTCCTTTCATTTTTGTCCATGACTGTATATGCTAAATGGGTTAGAAGAATTACTCTTAACCTGATACATTTTTATTTTATTAACTTTTTCATTGATTCATGACACAATAATGCATATTTTTGGTTTCCATAATTTTAATGTTGATATTGTGTGAGTGACAAAAACACCTGTTCAAGTGAAGATTGACTGATTGAATAATCTTCAATTGGTAATGTTTCTTTCGCTTGATTCATTAGGCCAAACATAGACGACCACTTCAGATCGGATGTTGATACCGAAAATTTCAAGATTCCTTGGTATTCGTCGCTGTGAAAATGTAAGAAGTTTGAACATTTCGACTTTTTAGAAACACTAAGCGAATATTTACCTCAAATCAGATCCGGGAAAGTTTTGTTTGATGTAATCTTTGATATTGGATATTTGATGATGTTGTGTTTCAGAATCGATTCCAGCGGTTTCCAGCATTTTGATTGTTATCCAAAATCCTTTGGAGAATTTGTTTTTCAAATGTTGCGTTGAGCCCAGGCATTTGAATTCTCCGTTAACCATGATTGCCAGGCGAGTACAAAGAGCCTCGCATTCATCCATACTATGCGATGATAGAACGATCGCTTTTCCTGTAAGACGAACTTTCGAGAGTAAGCTCCACACCTTTCGTTTAGCAGCTGGGTCCATGCCAGTCGTCGGTTCATCTGGAGATGTTTCATGTGAATTACAATGTTGGTTTCATTCGAATAATATTTAATTTGTTTATTTTTTTACTCATTATAAAATAAACGATTACCCAAATAAACCACAGCCGGATTTCCAATCAACGCAAGAGCGGTACTTAGTTTCCTTTTATTTCCGCCCGAATATTCTCGAATCTTTTTGTTGATATGCACTTTAAAGGTCAATTCGTTGGCAAGACGGTCTTTCAAAATTGGCACATCTGAGTATCGAACACCTCGCAGAAGTGCAAAGATCTCAAGCGTTTCAGATCCAGTCAGATCATCGAGCAAAGCATCAAACTGAGGACAATATCCAATGATTTTTCTTACTTGCATCATATTCGTTTTCAATCGAACGCCTTGCACAAACGCTTCTCCACTTGATATTTGCTCTTCGCCCGTTAACATTTTGAAGGTTGATGTCTTACCTGCGCCGTTCTCCCCAAGTAGACCAAAACATTCAGCTCTATCGATGGAAAATGGGCAATTGATTCATTGATTCAATAGATTAACCGTTGAATATAATTTTTTTTATGATTTGTATATACCTCTTGATTGCGACGGATATTTGGTTCACGGCCAACAATTCACCATATGACTTCATTAGCTTTTGTAAAACTAAATTATTCACTTGTAAATCATTGGGAGTCATGGCATGTATTTTTTGTGTCTCTTCTTTGATATCATCATCAATGTCATCATTTTCTGCGGCTGACTCTTTTTTAGAATTGTTGCATCTCATGCAACAAAAAATTCTTGGAAACACACGGAACTCAATTAGAAAAAGAGTTGCGAAGAATACGATGCCAGTTATGATCATAAAAAATAAATAGAAACCAATTCCTGGTTCCTTCCAAGCATAAACGTTTTCTTCTGAAAATGTGAAAAATTCATTAAAATAAGAAAGTAGAAATTTGAAGTAGTCATTTACTATTTTTATCTAAACTTGATAGGCATTTGTCAAGCGCGTAATGTGGCAAAAAAATAAAAATTGACCGAACTAAGTGTGTTTCACTATCGTTGGAGTTCCGAACTAAGTGTGTTTCACTATCGTTGGAGTCCACAGTGAGAGAAAAAATGATGAATTGCAGCACAAAGTCTATATGAGGATCAAAAGTAAGTTTCAAGATTTAAATTCGTAACAAAAAAGAAAATAATCTACTTATTATTGGTAGCGACATCATCCAAACGAATCCAATGGCTGAATTTGAGAAAAGAAATGAAAATAAATACATCATGGGTAGTGCTGCAACTCCAAATACAGTAAGAACAGTCATTATGGGCCAAAGATCGTTTCCCGACCATCCCTCTTTTCCGCACGCAGCCAATGTTATGATCACAATGGCTGTTGTCAACATATACGTGATAAAATCAAACAGAAACGACGTCAGCCAAAACGTGCATACACTCACTCCGCTAACCATTTGTAAGAGCTTCGCTTTTGTAACTCGCTCTCTTATGTGGAAAATGATATAGAAACATGATACAAAAGCCATTCCAAATGAAAGTATGGTCACTAGTGGTTCAAATAGTTTAGGCATTTGATAGATTGTTCTTGAGCCGTTTCTGCGTGCCACCGGAAAGTCGGTAACTTGTATATTATGGTTGATTCCTAGTGCCGTTTTGACCATTGCATTATGCATTAAACTAAGTGATAACGCTGATGTGTCAAATCGTTTACCAATGAACCATGCTAGAATTTCACAATTTTCTCCGATCGACATGCCAGCCAAATAACGTGAATTGACCTCAGGTAGATTCGTTTTTGCTTTTTCGAGATAGCGCGTTTGTATATCTTCACTGAACTCGTCTAATACAGCATCAGGGCTTTGATTCTTGAAACTATCGCGATATTGTGAGAAAATGCTAAAAACATAATGGATCAGTTGTAGTCATAACATTACGTCTTATTTTAATTTGACTTACCTTTCAATTACGGTTGTATTACATGCCGTCGGTCGCTGAAGCATAGTAACAGTTTTTCCATATCGGTCCAATAATATTGCAGATGTAGTAGTTTGTTCGTCTTCAGTTGATTGTTCAGAGGTAGTTAAGATAATTGCTACGATTAAAGTCACGGGAATTAGGTTTTGCAATAAAACGGTTATCCAGCTACGTATCCAGCAGAAAAATCGTTTTCTGAGCATGGCGTGCCACTGATTCACATGTAGCATGAAGCCACGTAACAATGGGGCTGTGCCGGATAGTGACTCAAAGTCAGCTCCAATATCGCTCGAATTCAAGGCCTCGATATCACCTGATTCGGACGCTACCTTCAAGAAAACCTCCTCAAGCGGTGTCAACGATACACCAAAACTGTTCAGATTCAATTCATTCTGTTTTTCCTCCAAGCATTGAAACATTTCTTCAAATTTGTTCACATAGTCCACAGGTAAAATGTACGTCAGTTCACCCGCCACTTCTTTGTGTAGTCCAATATTTGGGATGAATGTTCGTAGGAGCTCAGTGATTTTCCCTGAATTGCATCCATTATTCTTTACACAAACTAAGCGATAGCCACTGCCGAATCGTTTCTTCAAGAAAAATGGTGTTCCATAGCACTTAAGCTCTCCATCGGCCATTATCGCGACACGGTCACCAAGAACATCGGCTTCGTCCATGAAATGCGTCGTCATCAATATAGTTCGTCCTTTTTTCTCATTCAGTAACAAATCCCAAAGATGGCGCCGAGCAGCTGGGTCCATGCCACTGGTCGGCTCATCCAAAAACACCACCTTTGATTCACCGCACAGCGCGAGTGCGACAGACAGTTTTCGTTTCATTCCACCCGACAGATCTTTTGAACGTTTATCAATCATTGATTCCATTTCCAACTGCGCAGTATATCGGTCAACTTCATTTTGTACCTCTGATTTGCTCATACCTTTCAGTCGAGCGTAAAATTCCATATGCTCGCGCACAGTTAATTCATCGAACAAGATGTTGTGTTGCGGACAAAGTCCAATTGAGCTTCTGGCTTTTTGAATATTTTTTCGAATGTCGTATCCATTTATGATGGCAGATCCTGATGATGGTGGCAGCATACCCGTTAACATTAACATGGCTGTGGTCTTGCCAGCCCCGTTATGACCAAGTAGAACCGTAATTTGATCGTCAAATATATTTAGTGTCAAATGATTAACCGCCACTTTTTTGTTGGAATAGATTTTATGCAAGTGGTTAACTCTGACTCCCACATGATAGCCACTTGGGTCAGTTTCGATGTTTGGATTTGAGGAAATGGCATCGCTCTCTGTGCACGCGTCGAATGGTATGCCAAACCAGAATCGTTTTGTGAACGGAAAATACCATTTTTCGGGCACGCCATAATCGCCTGGCATCACTTTTTCCACATAAAGCGCTATCAAAAGGTGAAGGAGCGACGAAGCCAACATATACAACATAAGTATTCCGAGCGTTACATCGTCTTCGAACACTGTTGGTTTCCAAAAGTCAGCCCATTTCACACCTTCTTCAGTTATCTCAAACTGACAAATCAATTGAATGCCATGCGCAATCGCAGTATTGAACGAAATACACGCGATTAGCTTTGATGTATACGTCGTTCGTGAAAACCAAAATGGAATGTATAAAACAAACCAAACAATGCAAGTTGCAATTGCCGCTATATTTGCCTTGGTGAACAGTTCACTCATCATGAAGCAAAAAGTTGTTGTGGAGATAGCGTAGACAAAAAGAAAAACCCATAACACTGTGAAGTCCGCATATAGTGAAATCTGTACGAAATGATTTTTGATTAGTTCAATGGAAAATTGAAGAATAAATTCAAATACCTTTAGAATTGCAGCAATCATCGTAATATTGATGAGCATAAAGAACATTGTTCGCACAAACCAACTGGTCCAGTGGAGCCAACTCTGTAGTCCCATAATTTTCATCACTTCCTTTAATTGCTTCTCTTTTTCGGCATTAATGTAAATCACCGTGTTTATTGTAAGAAAAACTAGACTAAACAGTGTGAGAATAGCGAGTACATTTCCTAGCAAATTAGCATTATCTAAAAGAACTATATCAACTCTATCTGGATATCGAGACATTGAAATATTTGGAAATACTGTTTCGCTTTTGTGTTTCAATTGGATGAAAGATCTTGCAATAGCATCTTGCACTGAAAGGAATCCTTGTTTCAGATAAAACTGAATGTCATTACCGCTGTCTCTGGGGAAATGGGGAACTCTCAAGCTGTAAATGAGCTCGTTTGGAAGCTCTTGAATATTCTGTAAATGAACATAATATTATAATTCAGATGGTTGTGTGAAGAATGAAAATACATTACATTTGAATGATCGAATTCAATGCCTGCTAAAAATCCACGTCTGACAATAGCATCTTCTATTTGCTCCGAAGTATCAACAGACACAAATCCTTCTAAATTTAGCATTTCAACTGTTTCATTTAGTAATTTTTCCAGAAAAACGTTTTTTGGTCGGTATACCAATTTCCATTCCTTTACATCTTCTGGCCCTTGTGAATCTCTACAATCATAAAAGTAGAATTATAACAGTTCCCAACTAATTAGTATTCATATTCTGCCTTTCAATTTAAATTTCTTATATTTGTCAGTGCAAAACTCCCCACCATCAAAAAACATACAAAATCTAACCTGTATATCTCTATCGGACGAGGATAGTTAGGGATAGGTTTGGGCTGAATGTTTCTAGAATACAAAGACGGTAGGAACCAGAATGATGCAGTCGAGGCAATTATTATTAAAATTTCGAAAATGGTCCGAATTTTGTGCCTGATTTGAATCAAAAAATTCTTCCACATTAAAAGCCGAAATTTGTCAAAATTGGTTGCCGATTTTTTATTTTTGCCAGGCGGCTCCAAATTCCTGTTCGTCACCATTTCGTTCGAATTACCAAACTGGAGTGAAATTAGATCCTTAAGGTCAGATGAATTGATTTTTCAATAATATTTTCGAACTGAAACAATCTGTTTGTCTTGATATTTTTATTTTTTAAGAAATTGTTTTGCTTGTTTGCGAACAAATTAACCACAATGTCCGAAAAAAACCTTTGCCAATCTTTGCAACTTTTTTTTTCAACGAAAATTTCTAAGTAACTGATTTCGATCGAAAAAAATTGAGCAATAAAGCAAAGGACACTCAATTGAAATCTCAATCAAAGTAATCAGAAGTTTCGAAGGTTTAAAGAATATTTCGTTCAAAATATGCGCCACTTCCAATGGAACACACTGTTCTACAGCGTATACGAGTGAGAGTGGATGTCATCAGAAAATGGGAAAATCTGAATGAAAAAAGATGACGTTTCTCACTGGTTTTGCACAGTAGTTTCAAAGTTCGGAATTTGATACATCTTCCCATTTGATGAGTAATTATTGTTTTTTTCGCGGAGTGGTTCCGAGATAATGGAAGTGCTCCAAATAAAATGGAAAAACAATAATTTTCAAGAATTTCACTGAGAGTTTGTTAATAGATAACCACTCCCGAAGCGTTTCTTTAGAAAAAATGGTGTTTTGATTTACCTTAGCTCCCTTCGAACATCATTGCAATGCGATCGCCGAATACATCTGCTTCGTCCATGAAACGTGTGGTCAATAATATTTTGATCGACTCTTCTCCACATTCTGTAAAAGATCTCAAAGTACATGTCACGCCGTTGAGTCCATATGTCTATCGCAGAAAAAACTTCGTGGAATTGCAACAAAAAATGTTGGCAACGGAAAGTTTTCGTTTCGTTCAACCTGATAAAGATTCTTATAACGCGTTTCTCTTGGGTTTCATTTCTGATTATGTTATTTGTTAGACTCAACTGTACCACATGAATTGTTCTTCCATCACTGGACGAAACTTTTTCTAAAAGAGACCTAGGCTCTATATCATATCATTCGTTAGAAAAATATCGGAAACCGTTCAGTCAGTCGACTCACCAACAAAATATACGTAATTTATTTGGACAGTCTTTACTACGCAATAAATGTGAAAAGTTATGTCTGTATTGTGTGTAGCTTATGCTTTAAGACTCTTTTTGAACGATTTGAAGAAAAGGTGACGAATACATCAATAGCGCGTTGTGTCGAATCGAGTCACAACATAGGATGTTAAAATAACTGAATTTACAAAACTATAAAATCAAGTTCTAATTAATTTATCAATACGTAATGGCATTTGAAGAATTGTTGATGATAAATATGATTCTACTGCAAATAAAGTTGGTTAGGGAATTTCTGCACATATATTAGAACTAGCTAAACTAAAACCACACCAACAAATTATAGCAGCAAAATAGAAACAAGCCATCAATTTGAAATATAAGAAACGTTGAATGTTTGAAATTCCAATACTTTTTCAACGGAAGATTTTTATTTCGTTTTATTTCGTTGCTGTTTTGCAAGCACAACATAAGCATACACACAACATGCGACACGAGGCAAAAGAATCCGATCTGTCAACACGGAATGAAATATGCCATCGAAGCGAAAACGAGCAAATGAGGGAAAGAAAAAGAGAGAAAAGAGTTAAGGTAAAAGTGAGAAAGAAATGCAAGAGTTGATTCGCGTACTGTATGAGTGTTGCTCGTGCCATAAATACAGGTACCATCGTATTGTGACCAGTTTTTCACTAATACAAAGGCGCATCCATCGTCTCTATCACTCTCATCATAATTTATCGTAGCACGCAGAACAACCATGCCCTAGTGTCAAGTGTCAATGATTGATACCTTACCGCATATTTTTACAACAAAAATCTATTCGGAACCAAATTTAATTGTAAAACAATGTGTGAAATAATTAACTTTGTGCAATAAATAAATGAAATAAACTATCGCTCATATATTGTTATCTAAATTATGCTTAGAACTACACCAAGAGTGTATTGTGACTAAATATATCGTGATATAGATAAGAACCATTTGATCGATTTCAAGACAAAAAAAGAGAGGAAAAAACTAATTTATCGGACTTTTTTTGCTTGTAAATATTTGAAATAGCATTGAAATTGAAATTGATTTTTGAAACGGATTTTGCGTGTATTCGTGTCTTTATGATTTAACTGATTCTAAATTCTTCATTCGTTCGATTAGTGAAACAATCAACACCACAGTTTTATATGATGTGCAGTCACCGCACAATTCAGTGTAACAAATAATGAAGTGAATGTTTGATGGAGTGAGCCTTTAGTGAATTGACTACGCGAATGATTATTTGTGTTTAAATTATAAAACGGTTTTGAATTTCGAAACATAAAATACACTTTATCCAAGTGTCATTCAATTAAACTCTCGTGAATATTCTGCATTGAAATGTATGTGAATGGAATCAAAATACAATGGACTCTCGATTATCCGTCACCTCTGCTAGGGGGAAAGAACGACTTGACGTATTTGCCGTATTCACGTCCATTTGCAAGCATTTGCATAGCGATCCTCAATGTTATTGTTGTTGTTTTCATGTTGCTTCGTCTCGTTCGTAGTGATCAGTGCTTGCTGAGCACAAATAAGAATGGCAAATACGCATACATCTTCTAGCATTCGTTTGTCGTATTTGCACGCATTTGCACGTTTTGTTAGGCATTGGAAATAATTCCATGTTATCTTTGAATTTGTGTCGTTCTTTCCCCCTAGCACCTCTGTTAACCGTCACGCCTTGCCGAAGTGAGATTTCTAAAAATCTTTTCTCGTATCTAACAAATGGCACCCATAGAACATGAGAACAACTTATGAGTTCCATGAGACTGAATAAAATATTGAGTTAATATGTTTCAAAATGTTAGTGTGTCGCTAAGCGTTGTGCCCGCTTAATGTGTTGGCTTGTGTTTTTTTGTTGTCACTTTTCTCTGTCGCACACTCACATTTTGTGCCTTCTTTGGTCTCGAACCAAGCCTAGACGTGCTCTTTCATTCTTCCTCTTTCACCACTAATGCTATCTCCCTGTTTGCAACGGCAGACAAACTAAATCATCGGTTTTTGGCATTGCGTTCTCTCAATTATAATTTGAATTTAATTTAATTTCGTTCATATTCATGAAATTATAACGGTACTTGCATGCCTAATCACAGACAAACACGCAGGATCATAACCCTCCGTGAGAACCATCCAATTTTTCCTCCTGTTTCCAAGCTCGCTCCCCGGGCTCCTCTATTCCACCATTCCTCTCTCTCTCTCTCTCTCTCTAACTTCCCTACACCGAGTTTTCCCAACATACAGTGAGCCACCGCCAAATTTTTGTCATTCACCGTGTTCCGTTCGGTTTTCGTGTCAAAAATTCACTATGTCGCTATCGAAGTGAAAATAATGAGGCATTTTTGATAAACTATTCGCGAACGCGTCCGCGCGCGCGCATCTCAGCTTATTTCAAAAGAGGCAATGAGATATCAAATATTCTCAGATTAAGACAGTCAAGGATTCGCATGATTCGGCAAGATGATGATAACGATGTTGGAAAATAATGAAATTGCTACATGTTAAATTGCAGATTGATTTCAATCGTCAAAAATACTGTAGTACAGCGTGCAAGAAATATTATTTTTGTCTGGAAATTGATGAAAAGGAATGTGAGCATGTACTCCAAAATTAAACCTTAAATTGTAAGGGAAGTACACGTTTCAGTGTTGGGATTACACCTCATTAGGGGAATCGTTTGTTACTATCCCAATTTGTGGTGATGATTTTCGCTTCACAAAAAAAATGTACATCGCAGTCGACTATGATAACGGCACAGGGAGGCTCGTTTCAATTATTCAATGTTTTAACTCGAGTTCAACCTTATTAGTAGGTGTAATCCAGACACATAATTTCGAACGATATATTCCGTTCGGTAACGACACTCCAGTAACCACATTCAAGTGAAACAAGTAAATACTAGCCAGCGCGAAATTGAATAAAACAGCAGAAAAAAACTGACTGAAAATGTGAATAGCTGTCATTTGAGCAGCAACAAAAACAACAACACAACATCAAGTTGCTTAGGAAAAAAATTGCCTATCAACAAACATCATCACGACTGCAAGCATAAGCACAAAAAACGTCTTCATTAAATGTCATAATTCATTACATGACAAAATATCACACAAAAAAACACAAAATGATCACCTTTTTAATTGATCGATTGCGAGTGGATTCATTTTCTGACCGATATTTTTAATAATAATAATGGAAATAATGCGAAAAAACTGCACATGAATCATCGACGTGAATGAAGTTATTGTGTATTTATTCGATAATCTGCAAGCTTTCTCTCTGTCTCACTTGGGCTCTAGCCATTAGATTTCTCAGTATCTCCGTGCTGTCAAAATAATAATATGGAAGTTTTCATTGGTTGGGCTTATTTTATAAAAACTTCGATTATCCGTCGAGGTATAATTGAGGTTCCACTGTACGAATGGTTTTTTTTTACTGAAACATCGACATTTAGCTTCTACTTTTCTGCACCGTCACTGATTTGGACAATATTTAAAGATGAATAATTTTCTGACTAGAATTTAATAAACTAAAAAGAAACAGACACT